TGGCGTTTTTTCTGTTATATCTAATGGGAAAAACGCCACGAACTTTTTCCCATACCTAATATTACCGTGATTAATTTCGTTATAAAAATTGCATCTAATATTGCAAATCTAAGACGGTTTTTTACAATTACTTTAGTAAATCAAATTAAAAATGTTCAATTTTTTTCCATTATGCATATATTTGTAACTTAGGTGGATCCTGTAAGATACTCCAAATACTAAACAATAGTTTTTACTATTTAAAATAAATAATTACTATTTTCAGTATTAAATTGACTAGTATTAAATTAATCAGTATTAGATTTTTGTAATGATTGAATTTGATTAGAGTAATCAGGAATTCTGAAAATTCGCAATTTGTGATTCATAAGTCTTGTGAAAAAAAATACATGAAAAAACTAAAAACCATCGATTATCTTACACGATTTTGAATGAATTTTAAAATAAATTACAGTTTTCTGCTCAAAGCAACATCTATCTATATAAAATACACATGTTAAAAAATATCATAGACATCGTAAAAATGTTATAAAGACATCTTATAGATATTTGTGTAATATATGTTGTTTAGATCTCATCGTTTTTCGAGCAAAACAATGGTCATTTTTCGCATATGAAATAATTCGCCAGCGCATTTCTTACTAATAAGATGACATCTCGAGAAATGACGCGTTGTATTTGCGGCAAATAATGCGTCAGATATTTCATAAAACGCCCAATTGGCAAAGTATTCTTAACTTTTCGCCAACAGGACTCAAGAAACTACATTTATCCCGGACATTTTATCCTAGATAGTAAAGTTTGTCATTTTGACGTCATATTTTGGACTTTTACTGACCATTATACTACTCAACTGGCGACTTATGACGTCACGGAATGACATTACAAAAATAATGTCAGTATGTCATCACGAAATGACATCAGTATGACGTCATGGAATGCCGTTGAATAAAAACCTGATCATTTTTTGATCACTTGATGTCATTTTTACAAATATGATTTGACGTCAAAATCACGAACTTTGCTACCTGGGATATAGGCACAACATAAATTATGTGTATATATACTAAATTATGTTTATATATATTTATTGGGTTGTCCGGAAAGTTCGTGCCGACTAAAATTTAAAATTTTAGTATATATTTATTAAATTAAAATTTTCTGCGTTTCAATTTTCCTTCAACATCGGCACGAACTTTTCGGACAACCCAATATTAAATTGTTAAAATTAAATAAAGGAATTAATTAATAAGACTCCTAATTTTTAAAAAACAATAATTTGATAAGACTAATAAGAATTAGATGCGAATTTTAATCCATAGTACACAAATTATTGAAGAAAATTTATTCAAGACACACAAATTAAAAAATTTAAATTTTTAATTCATGTATCTTCAATAAATTTTATTCATTAATTTGTTAATCTGATAGCATAAAGAGAGTGTATAAGGACACACTAAGCATGAGTCGTATTCGTGTAAATATGTGTGCTAGCTTATATTCTCTAAATGCTATTAACAAATGATGTTGTTTGGTATCTAATCATTTTGATATTTCTGATCTCGGAATCCGTTGTCTAAATAGTCCGAAGTAATCCGAGGCTGACATTAAAGTGTTAGTGGCGCCTCAGCTAGGAGAACTAACAAACTTCAGAATTCTTTTATCAGAATTCTATCGATATTACATCGACATTATTTGTATAAATACTTTTTATAAATCTTTCTGATAAAGAAGGAAGTTAATTTAATTATAAAAATTATAAACATAAATAATTCTTTTTTTTATTTAAATAAAACGTGTGGAATAAATTATTAAACATTTTTCTTATTTAACTGTAGGCAATTGTTTTTAAACAAAAGAGTAAAGATATTCGGAGCTAATTAATGCAAAAGTAATTGTAAAAATATAATTTTTTAACGTGTGGTATACGCAATGAAACATATAATGGATAATTTAAAAATGATTTATTACATAGATTTGATAGAGTATTTATGTACAGAGTCATCAATAATACATTTATAAATGAGGCCATTATATAAATAGACAATTATTAGATTTCTTTCTTAATAATTTCCTAATAAAATAACACCATAAAAGTTCATAAAACTTGATTCCACTACATGTTGTGTATCAAATTCAACTTTCATATACTATTTTTATACGATTAGATATATGTCTGTAATATAAAATTGCAAACTCTTTCGCTGGAATCATAAAACTACTTTAGTGTAAAAGAGCTTAATCTAATAGTTTGTTACAAATTTCATTATCATATTTATACGACATAAAGTACATTCTATTTACAATTGTTGATCAATAAAAAGTGATATAAATAAATAAATGTATAAAATTTTGTATATAAAAGAGTAAACTTCCAATATAAATCTATTAAATTCATGCAATTTGTCATATTTTCAGATACATTATGTTAATGTTAAAAATATAATTAAAATAATATACAGTGTGATATACTCAAAATTTCTGTAAAATTTTTTTTCGTTTCTAAAGTACTTGTTATGCAGATTTAATTTAGATGCTTTTTAGATTCTATACTATCATCATTATGTGTAAACTATCTTTTTTAGCAATTATTATAAAAGTTGACTCTCCTTCTGCATATAATTATCTTCTTTCAGATATCACATAATATTTCACGTTTATTTTTCAAATCTTCGTCAAAGAAAAACGAAGTTTTGCTAGATATACGAAATTATATAAATAAACATTATTTCTGTGTCATAAAGCACGATGATTATTGCACTTGGCTGTGCATAATAAAAAAGATTTAATATTGTGCGTTAATATGATATCATTTAGATTTTAATAATACCTATGAGCATTAAAAGGGACTTCTATATATGTTTTCCAGGACAGTCTTTATACTCGCTTCATCGTACATTACCTAATGGGAACCATTCAATAGTTTCGTTCGTCAAGTCAACATGTCCGAGTGGCAAACTTATACCACCGAGAAATTCATTCTCCTGTAAAGTATCATGATTCCATATCGTTGCTTCGAGCGTTCTTTCCCTGATTACTTCTAGAGGCATTCTATACTCCAACTAGTATAAAAAATGAGTTATTACTAAGCTTACTGTCCAATTAATACACCTTTGTTTTTTTATTATATCTATTATTTATCCATTTCCTAAGTATTATATTTATAATTTATAGCTTATTATAAAAATCTGACTTTATTTACCATCTCCATGAATGATGGATGACAATTCTTCTTTACTACTTTCGTTTTCCGTTTTGTTGCCTTTGTAGGATCGGGTTTGAGGTATACCTTCACATATGTATTTGGCTCTTGAGCATTAGCCACTTTGGGGAGACCTCGTGCATGACAAACCATAACAGATAAAGTGCCGCGAACATAATGAAGAGCCAATTTGATTTGACCACTCTGCATGTTATCTCTGACTCTCTTTTCAGCCCACCAATTATTTCCAACTGTTAAAAGTAAAAATGATATTATATATTAGTCCATAAATTATTTTCGCATAAGTTTTAAACGCTCGCTAAATTGTATTTTTCAGAATGTCATTATTTTAAAGATATTATTTATATATTTGTATTTTATTATTTTAATATTTTACTATAATAAATAATTTAATTTTTGTTCAATTTATTATTAATGTAAAATAAATATATTGTAAAATTTATTATTAATATAAATGTATAAATATTATGCAGATTTATATTTCGGAACATATGATAAACAGCGTTTATAAATAATAATAATAATATATTTGGAAAATTTAAATGGTACCAAAATACCTTTGACTTTACGCAAACGAATGTCGGGATTCTTTTGGTCTCGTAACAGTGGATGAAAGAAAGTATATACCAGATCGCTTTGGGATATTTCTGGTGCCATTTTAAACAGACTCACAAGAAATTTTTCTATATCTGCACGTCGTTTATCGGCTACCTGTTTAATGTTAGAACGTCCCACGCTAATTCCACTTGGTAAACTGTGAAACAAACAGAGAGATTCGATATTATTCTCGCAATGCGAGTGAACAGGATGTTTCCATATTCATAACATAAAATAAAATAAACATCGCTATTCGCGTCTCAAAGGATCAAGCTATCATTAGATACTATCGTAAATAAACAACATAACAGAGATCGTACAGGACATACAGCACTGTATTGAGTAGTAGTTGAGATCTCTTTGTACTGTAGTAAGAGAAAGAATGAATTTAAACTCAAGTGTTTTAATAAAGTGAATAAAGTGTCATATTAATTAATGTATTCCTTTAACGTTTCATGAATTGTGTTACGCTCGCAAGTTAATCATTGTATGACTAAGACTGTTAGATATGAGATGTCAGACTTTAATATCAGATGATCTAAAGATAACGCATATCAAAAGGTATGACATTGTGGGCGCAGAGTTTTTGCGTTTAAGATATCTTCTTATATTTCATACGACATATTGTCTTCATTCTGCGTCGCGAATTTGTGACAGCATAACACGCCATAGTTTCCATTTTTAAAGGTATTGTGATTTGCTGATCTAAATCTCGATTTGGAACATCTGTATTTTTTCGTCTAAAGTAAGCACGAGTGATGATAGTTGCCTTAAAAGTTCTATATTGTAAGTATAAATAATTTTTCTAATTAGAAGAAAATAATTATACCACTCTACATTGCACGTCATCTTGTATGAGCAAAATTAATATTGTAAGATAACCAAATAAAAAATATAATGTACTTTTTAGGATACAATTTACTCCATAAATACATCATTCTCAAAAGAGAAATTGCAATTTATAGTTAATATATCATTTCTTTTCACAAGAGTGAGTAATTTTATATCATGTTTATACGATGCAATATCTTCGTAATATTTACAAAGATTTGTAAAATATTTTTAATATTATCAATAAAAATACGGAAATATTATCTGTAGGTAATTTAAGAATTCATTTAAAATTTGAAAATTTGAAAATTTTCAATATAAATTAACTGATTTCCAGAAGTTTAATATTAAATTTTGAAAGAAAATGGGTCTGAAATGGTTTCGGGCAAGTTTATCGATGGAAAAAGAAGCATCTAAAGTTCCAGCAATGATGGGCTTATATCGAAGAATTTCATTCGAGCCAACAATTCAAAAAAATGTGGAAATCTCATTGTCAACTGTGCCTCTTTTAATCGTAAGTGATTTAACGTCAAGTGGCGATAACGAAACAGTGAAAAATGACCGCTCAAGAGCAGATCTTACAAATCAAACATCATCGTCAAGTATTGATTCGGAGGAAATCACGATAAAAGAGATTGACAACAAATCACAGATAAATAATCATTCGGTTGAAAATACAGAGTCTTCTATTTTCACCAAAGATCCAAATGTAAAAGAGGAATCGGCACGTGGCGAGAAATTAAATAAGATAACTAAAGATCAGAATATGTCAGATATAAAAAGTCCTATCAATTCAGATAACGAGCTAGTGATCTAATAAAGGGAAAATATCAAATATATACACATGATGTTTAGCGTAAGAAAAAAGCATATAGAAAAAAAGATACTCTTGTTTCGATTCGGCACTTCTCTACTTTACTATCTTATATCTTTTTATATATACTACACACACACACACACACACACACACACACACACACACACACACACACACACACACACACATTTGTTCGTATATACATTTATTATTTATATTATATTTGAAATTGAGATATAATTTAATTGTATAGAATATAATTACATATGCATATAATATGTTATAATCTCATATATTTATATAAAATATTTTAGTATACAGCACATTTTATCCGAGAAATCATTGGATGTTTTCAGAGACATTTCTTGGAAATTAGTGCTATATGGATAAGAAAATGTTAATATTTAGCTTTATTTTGCTTTTATTTGCATTAGAATGAATGTATGTATAAGATTATAATAATCTTACAATATTTATATTAAACAATGTAGAAGATAAAAATAAAAATAGGAATGTGCAAAAAGAAGAATATGTGATTAATATAAAATATTTACCTGGTTACTTTAGCAAGTGGAAAATGTATACACAATTTCTGATAGAATTCGCAAAATTCTTTGTATGATCGGAATAGATATGTTGGATCCGGTTGGCCCTTCCGTTGGATTCGTAAAATGTACATGTAATATTTCTCTGGATCATAGCGTTTCTGATATCCATGCACCTGGACGCTTGTTAATTCACCTTCTTGCTGCATTCTATAATAATTATTTAAAAAATATATTGATACATCATCTGTTATCCGTAGAAAAATCGAGCAAAATCTTTTAAGATTTTCAATTTTTTGGAGCGTTATTACTTTTACTTATAACATTTAGCAAAAATAAAAGGCTCACGTGTACGTGCGCGGAATGAAGGATAGTAATTCCCCCTCACTGTGATCTCCAGAGAATCTCATCTGCGCCAGATTATGCAAGAAAAAGTTAAATTGCGTAAACCAACTTTTCAATGAACTTTCTATCATACGAGCGAAAGTCGCCGCTGCTTCGGGATTTGTTTGTCCAGGAAGCAGTGCTTTCTGCACATAACTAACTGCGTCCACGGTCACCCCAGGGATACCGGATGAAGTCATCTGCGAAGTTGTATACTCGTTCATTCTTGCCTTGTTTAAATGATCTTTTATTTCGATATCGTGCAACTTTCGCGCTATGATACTTTGTTTATGCAAATCACTGAGAAGATTCTTTCGCGATATTAAATTATCCATTGTGATTTATTACTAAATATTAGAAAATAACCAATATATTTTTGTTATGATCTTTATGTAAATGCTCTCCATGTAAATGCTCGGATTGTACAACAATTCCTGAACTTTTTTATTCACTTCTAACACTTTACTCTTAACATGATTGACTCAGACTGCTGCAGCATACGATATTATGAGCGCGGGCGATAAATACTAATTAACTACATCGCATATAGTTTACTGAGATAGCGGTCCGTTTTCTGATAAAACACACGGATATGTTCTTCCGTTGTGGTTTTATTGTTTTCATAGCGGTGTGGTTGACCACATAACTTACAAAATTCTTTATTTCAAATATATTCTAATTGTTTGCATAATTTATATAAAATGCATTTGTATTTATTATAATAATTAATTCAAAACATATCAGCTCATCACATTGAAAACTTCCAAAATGATTCATTTAAATTACTTAAATTTTGAACTATTCTTTTAAATTCATCTACTTTAACTATAAAATTTGAAAATATTAATATATA